ACCTAGCTAACGATCTCTTCCTGTCTCTCCTGTACCCCTGTTTCATTCCCTCCCTCGCTTGAACCCTGACACACACCAAAGTGTTGCCATTCCTACAAACTTGCACTGCCATTGCTTTAATTTTTCGAGGCCATTCCGCTCACGCTGATCTTTAAACGCGACGCTTCTTATCTCTATCCTTCCCGCTCTTTACTCCCTATGCTCTCCCTTTTCTTTTTTTTCTTTTTTCTTTTTTTTCTCTCTCGCGCGAGACATTCCGCGGTACAACGTAAGTTGTAATAACAGTAGGACCGACCTCATGGCCGAGAAGGGCTCGTTCGCTTCCCCTCTCCCCCCCTTCCCACGACGTAAAATTCATCGCGAGGAAGAGAATGGTCGAAGGGAAACGAGGCAGAGAAAGCTCTCGATCCTTTCTATTAAGCGGACGCGTAATTTCCTCCCCCCCTCCCCGGTTAATCGTGCCAACCGTGAAAACCGTTTTTGCTCCGATTCGGTTCCAGCCACTTGTACATTCCCATCATAGAGATGGGCTACAAGAAGAATACCGCATCTGTCACCGTGTTCTTCATCAGCGCCTTTTTCCACGAGTACCTCGTCAGCGTGCCGCTCAAGACGTTCAAAACGTGGGCGTTCCTCGGTATGATGGGACAGGTAAGATGTAATATTGCGTAATATTCACGAACTAATGTTACCGTCTATCACATCTCGTACGTTTAATTTTTCGGATAGGTGAATATATATATATAAAATTGGTTTCGATGCCGATTGTACAGATTCGAGAAATGTAATATCTTTGAACATTGCATTCGCATTCAATCAACGCTCGATATCTTTATTTGGATCGTGTGAAAAAGATTCGAGAGGAAATTTTTAATCATTCCTCGTGAAACGTATGTCCGCCGGAAAAAAAATTGCGGGGAAAAGTTGCCGAACAATGATCCTTTCGCAACCGATCCAACTGTCGAATGATTAATATTAATTTTCACCTACCCCGATCGAGAAACTTTTTTAATCGATTTTCCAGATACCATTATCAATGATAAGTAAGAAGGTGGAGAAGCACTGGGGCGCCAGATGGGGCAATATCACGGTGTGGGCGAGTCTCATTATCGGACAACCACTTTGCATAATGATGTATTACCACGATTACGTGATAACTCACTTCGGCGAGAACTTGATCGAGGATTACTCCGTGGTGTAGGTAGAGGAATCGAACTCGAGGCGAACGAGTTCACGCAGAGGTCTGGAAGAAGAGATTCTCCGGGCAAACTCGCCACTCTTCCATCAATTTTTTCCCTTCTCCTTTTCTCTTCCGCCATCTTTACCTCTGTGACTCGTGTATAATCTATTTTTCAACCGACGTTTACGCGAATCCTTCCACTTTTTTTTCTTTTTTTTCTTTTTTTTTTTTTTTTTTCTTTTATTCTCATTCCAACGATGGATGAAAGTCGGTCACGTGTTCGTATCGCGAGCATATTCGTTCCTAAGTATTACGCGTTTATCCATTTCGGTTTATTTCTTCTTCCAGTAGGAATTATATATCGTATAGATTTTTTTTTTAAAAAAAGTCGAAATTTCCTATTTCAAGATACAAATTTCACGTTCATTCATATGTATATAGGGTAATTTGTAAAACTTCTATTAAATTTAATACTGGTAATTCCAGGGTTAATTCTGGTAAATGTACAGTATAGCGTGTGTACAGACTTTGAACGTTTTCTCTTAATTTATTTACTTCTGTTAAATGGAAGGAATTGTCGTAAAACGTACTAACATAAATAAGTTCGTGTAGGTTGAATTAAAATTGAATAAATCTACTAACATGATACATCGATAGAAGAGATCATATATTTCTGGCACGTAAATCCAGAATAAGCTCTGCGTGCATCATAAAATTTTACAAATAATTCTCCGTTTCTCTTTCTCTGCGAAAAGTTGCAGATATAATTCCTACTGGATCGTATCACGAACGTCAGTTGTTCGATATTCGATCGAATTTCCTTGAACAAAAAAAAAAAAAAAAGAAAAAAAAAAGAAAAGAAGATTTTTGCACGAGGCGATTAACAATCTCGATGAAAAACTCAATCGCTAGATTGCGGATATTTATGCAATTATTAAATTCCAGATATGGAAATGAAAGGGAAATATGCTTCGCTTAAAAAATATGTATTTTCGATATTTTGTACATTTTTCACAACTTTTTTAACAAATGCATAAACTTTCGCAGTCTACATCGTATATATCTACACGATATATCACTCGTTCTTTTCCCTCGTATACGCGTGAGTGGTGGTGGTGGTGGTGGTGGTGGTGGTGGTGATGTTTGTTGATGAATTGTTGCTATTGTAAGCCGTTGAAATATTCACCCATTCGGTCATTTTTATGCACGTTTTAGCCGATAAGAATTGTTAATCACTTTGATACCAGCGTTTTACATAGATTTCTCACGCGGCTCGTTGAACGAACGCTCGATCATCCCCGTCCATCCACGAAGATCGCCGATCCTTTATACGAACCGTCGAAACAATGAGATTGTCACGCATCGAGGGGTGGAGGGGAGGGGAGGAGGACACTTTACTCTGCCGTTAACGCGCGTTATATACACATATATAAGATGTATTTAATCGAAACGATTTTTTACATATGATCACGAGCGTAAAACCCTTGTCACATACACCCCCCTCCCTCCACTTTTACGAACAACGCGCGCCTCGAAAGCGCGAAACGCTTTGATATTATGCGTGCATCGAGACAATAACTCNNNCTCACTATATTTTTTTTCTTTTTTTTTTTTTTCTTTTTATCTGACGATGCTTTATAGCAGGGAGACCTCGAGCGCATCTAGGGAATATTAGCCGTAATAAATTTATCCATGGCGCGGAGTGCAGTTGCATTTACAGGGTAAATATTTCACCGGAATCGTTGCGTATCACAGCGAAGAAACAGATGCCGAGGATTTAACGGGTGCAACTTGGTGCCAGTTGTATACGAGGAGCAGACGATTTTGTAAAATTCGTCCAACGCTCGCGTGCCGTGCGAGCGTCATTCGTTGTCGAAATAAACGAAATCTTTGTTACAAGATCTCCGCCGTTTAATTCCGCCCCTGTTCCTTTGAAGAATTGTCGGAGATGTTACTCGACGCACGAAGGGGTCAGTAAACATGTTTCTTCTTCGACGTTTCATAATTTTTTTGGCGAATGATGAAATTCCAAGTGTCGTTGGCAATCGATAACACGTTGATTGTTGAAATTAACAATGAATTATTGCACGATTTTTTTTTTTTTACCGATGCTGCAGGTAGAGAGATGGAATTTTTTTTTAATACGACAAACGAATAGTATCGTGTTCTTTTTTTTTTTTTTTTTTTTTTTTTTTTTTTTGAAAATTTCTCGACGCAATAACGTTCGTAATTTTTAATTAAAACGCAATTTGTATGTTGAAAATGATATATTTGTATATTGATTAGTAAATGTTAAATTACAACCAATTACAAAAACGTGTAAAATGAAACATATAATAGGAATAAAAATCTCGTGAATTTTAGCGTTTGTGTCACCGTTGACATCGAATAAAATTTCCGTCCTAGGTTGGAAGTCGAAACGAATCGAATCAAATAAAAGAAAAAAAGAAAAAAAGAAAAAAAAACCTCATCTCCACAAAAAAAAAAGAAAGGAACCAAAGGTAAAGACACGATATATGATCTTTATCGTGCATGTAAAGCCATTTGCCAAAATAACTTTCTCCTTACCACCCTGATAATAAGAAAGGGTCATAAAGGGTTACTGGAACAGTCGACGTCTTTTGACTGTCGGCTCATCTCTTTTGAAATTTCTTCCAACACTGAAACGATAATCGAAGGAATTGCCTGGCATGAAATATACGATCAC